ATGGCAGCCATGTTTTTTTCTTTGACGCCCGTGGCCATGTTTTTTTTTCCTTAATCCATTTTTTCGTTCATTATTACTATTATACCGTTATTTTTGTAATTCAGCCACGCCGACGTATTTTGAGACACCCTGTACACATTGACGTCATGCTTTTTTTTCTTAAACGATGAGACATCCTGTATGGCAGCAATGTTTGTTTTCTATTGCGTTGACAAATATTTTCTTTCCGCGTGTTTCCTTTATCCCCACTCCTCCGTTTCTACACCCTGTACACGTCAAAGAATCACACGCCAAAATGATAGAGCCTCGTTAAACTGTCATGTTTTTTAAATGACGTATTCTGAGACACCTTGTACACATTGACGTCATGTTTTTTCTTGAATCCCGATTTTTCATTCATCATCATTATTATATCATTATTTTTCACTCCGACGTACATCCTGTTCATGTTTTTTTTCCTAAACGATGAGACACCCTGTATGGCAGTCATGTTTTTTTTTTCAATCAATGTTTCGTTCATTATTATTATTATATCATTATTTTCCACGCTGACGTATTTGAGACACCCCGTACATGTTTTTGTTTTTCTTAAACGATGAGACACCCTGTACACATTGAAGAATCACACGCCAAAACAATAGAGCCATTTCGTTCATTATTATTATTATATCATTATTTTCCACGTACATGTTTTTTTCCCTTCTGACCGTTTAATAACCTAGGACGGTTTTTTTTCTCACTACATCAGTAAATAAGTGTATCATCGTGAAAAATGGTAGGTGTGCAGAGTCGGTAAATGAAAAAATAATAATGTCATATTTTTTCTCAGTGTACTTTGTGGATGTGGATAACTTCACACCCGTAATGAATTTCGAAATTATTTCATCACACCTAACATTCACGCCCCCTTCATGTGCTTTACATCATAATCTATCTACGATGATGTGAGCTTGTGTCCTTTTGACCTACCTTCATCTTAGAGTTCTCTTTATGAATTCTCCTACCCTTCTCCTTTCATTTGACGTTGAGATCTAAACATTATTGACGAAGATGTTTTTTCTTTGATTATCCATAACCAAGCATAGGGTGTATAGAGTGCATAGCCAAATAGACTCACGGCCGGTTTCGTAGGGAGAAATGAGAATAATAGTAGCTAAAAACTGGGAGGCATATCGCGACACACATGTTCGGATAGGTTTCCGTGGTCAGTAATTTGATGTACTGTCGTCCGAGTTAACCGCGTCTGTAATTTTCATCATTTGTTTTGAAGCCATTTTCAAGAACATCTTGGAACTGAAATTACATGACTCGATGACGGGGTCGTAATCTCCATGACCCCCAAGTCAGGTCACTAACATTGTTCTTGCTTTGTTCAGCTCCAAGTGAACTCTGATCACTTTTTTTTTGGGGCCACTATTTATGGTGTTGGACAGGTATAAAGTGTAAAGGTTTCGTAACAGGTACCCGGTCTGCCGGAAATGAATTCTTGATATATGATGGAATCATATATCAACTTTCTGTTTGACGTGGGGAGTTACTTTGAGATGTATTGCAAGACAACAATGACCTCCATGATTGCGGCAGGCTCTGCGAATCATCTCGCTTGTTAAGACAGTCGGGACGCTTTTTAATTTCAATGGCTTCATGAATTATCCTGGCCTGAAGACTTTTCTCCGTAGAAATGGTTTTGGTGTTTTCGAAGCTTATTGTGTGGACTGTGTAGAATTGACTATCGGTCATTGACATACGCAGCTAATATAGGCAGTTATGTTAGTCATTATGTTAACCACAATGTGTTAACGTATTGTTTCAACAAAACCAATGGAGAGAAAGAAAAGAACGGATCATCCATTTCATGAAAGAATCAACAAATATACCTCATTCCTATAAATATAACAATCCCAAACTACTATGAATCCAACCTGAATACTCCACCACTCTGGAACAACATCACCTCATTTCTGACATACATCTAATCCACTTTGACAAATGTACTCCGAATCATCAACAAATTGGGCAAGAATTCAGTATAAAAATACAAAATTATGAGAACATCCACCAAATCTACACTGCTGCATCCAAAAATGATTCGGGAACAGCAACAACTTTTGTAAGCGAAATTCATCAATCGTCGCTCAAACTGCCAATTACCAGCTTCTTGTGCAACGGGATCGGGAATTTGTCAGAGAAAGTAAAGTTGAGGAATGTGTAATAATCACAGACTCTCTTAGTTCCATTTTGGGATTGAATCAGCGATACCCTATTCATCCGATTCTGCAAATAATCAAAAGAAAATTGCATCACTGCAGACATAATGTTACAGATACCTTTGCACAAAAAAAAAACTTGTTCAATCAAAATATTCCAACAGTCCAACTCGACATTATCAATAATAATGTCAGTAAAGACATTTTTTTCCTTAGAAAATTGTGGACTCTTATTTATTTATTCATTTACAGCTTTGGCAACTCAACAGAACAAAAGTTCCAATCATAGAGTCGCACAGAAATAACAAGATTCATCATTACATTCAAAGAGTTGAGCTAGATCAAACTAAAGATAATTATTTACAAATAGAAATAAAAATACAATTACCCTACCTAGTGCATAGTATTCTTCTACAAGAAAATCTTACTTTTGAAAGGGGTAAGTGAAATCGGTCAACAGAGGAAAAAGTGAAATTGTATATATGTTGCATACGTGATATTGGAGCGTTTAGATTGTACGTGTCTCTTATTAATTTCTTTATAATAAAGGCCAACCATTACATCAACATTAGCGTTATTTGAAGGAGAATACCAGTCTATATTTTCAATTTTCTCGTTTATGATGTTATAGTTAGTCTTCCGAAAGACCTTACTTTGATGAGATATTTTACCTGCGAGAACAATATCAGGAATTTCTGAATTTATTTCCAAAGCGGGATGGTAGGAGTCTTCCTTCACCAGCGGTGCAGTGCAATGCTTAACTCTCACATCATCAACATTTGCAAAACATAAATCTACGATTCTATCATTATGATTGGTTTGGCATCCAAAAAGGAGAAAGTATCGACAATTTCTTCATCTATAGTTTTCGCTGGCGTACCATAGTAAAATTATCTTTATTATGTTTTGTCCAAGATATATCGGGAGCGTTATAGTTACCGATGATAAAATAGAAATCATTGTGATTATTATTCACTATTTCACCTACCCTATTCAAGTAGTTTCTGATATCAACAGTACTTGCTTGTGGGGGATTATAAGTGCAGCAAAAAGTAACACTTTTACCATCTTTTAATTGAATCTTGACTCATAGGTCTTCAACGATACCCTATCCTGGCCACTCAGTTTTCACTATAACAATAAAATTATTCCGAACTACGATTAACAATCCTCCTCTGTCCTTTTTACCGCTTACAATTGGATCTCTATCATTACAGACAATAGTTCACTACTATCAATCGAGTCATTGAGCCAAGTTTCACAAATAATTATAACATCGTGTGTTAGACAGATATTAGATAGAAAAAATTCTTTAGTTTTGGTCCTCAAACCTCTTGTGTTTTGAAAATAAATATTCAATATTAATCGGTTTAAAGGAAATATGAATTATAACATGATTTTTCATGTTGTAGCCTATGTGAAACTTTGTATGCTGTTCATTGTTGAATAGACGTATCTTGGAGGTCTCGGTGTTCTTCATGAAAATCTTTCAATCACGTGTCCAATACTGAAAAGACTTCCCCTTGCACAATTCTGTGGTCTTTCTATAGAGTTCCTTGTTCTTGAATGTTAAATAAGCATTTATGTATATCTTTGAGTAGAGGAATGAGTTCTTGATTACTTCTTCCGAAGGTAATGTTTTCCTTTTGCGGATTGCTGAAATAATTTCCTGCTTCTGTCCATTCAATGGAAGTTTCAGTTTTATGTTTCGTGGTTTTTTGTTATTTCTATTGAACTGGGCCACCCTGTGGCAACTATCAATTGATTCCCTTCCAAAGGTGCATCCCAGTACCCTTATAATGTTTTCCGTAATTGTGATCTGGTTCTCGTTTTTCTCTTCCGGTACTCCTGATATTTGTCAGTTGTTCATAAGTCATAAGTGAATATTGCTGAATTTTATCGATTTCATCAGCCAAATTAGTAATGTTCAGTGTGTTATTGTCAATCTGCTGTTTAGGGTCTTTGACGAATACAATAGTCTCCTCAAATTCCTGCAATTTCGTAGCAAAATCATCTATTTTGTTGCCATAAAATTGCACAGACTGAATTATATCGGAGTGCGATTTCTTCAGAGCTGTGATGTCATTCTCAATATTGCCAAATTTTTTCAGAATATCCTGTAGAGTGGTAGAATCACGTTCATCCGAGTCCAACTTCTTGGAGCACACTGTACAATACCAAACCATACCTGTCAGATAACGTGAAGTACATCAAAATCTACATTGAGAGAAATCCAGGAATCGGTAATACCACCTAGAATGGTATTCAAAAATAACGAGGGGGTGGTTATCATTTCATGGTTACGACTGGGTCACTCAGCCGAAAGGGTAAGGGAGCTGGGCTCCATCCCGATTGAACTGAAGACGTTGGACGACTGGGTCATACTCGTCTCACCCATGAATACTATCATCGAAAGAAGTAATAGACCTACTGTTTCAACTATTAAACGTATTATTATAAAGTGTATCATATAATGACCATTTACAGAAATACCAAATTCGCCAGTCGCTGAAGGATAATTTCGAGAATAAACCAGGACATTTAATACATTATCCGACGGATATAAATGTCATCAATTGTATTTAATAATTTATACCTATTTACTAATTTTGTTTCTTATATAGTCGTTCATAACCATGTGGTTGATGCGATTTTGAGCAGTGAATAAAAAATGCTAATTTTCCTGACTTATTCATGAATATGGAATGCACTTATTTATTTCAAAGATAGAGACAAGGACTCGAGTACTCTAATTTCAGTCTCAGATGATTCAAAACTTTTATTCTATTTCAGATTGGACGAAGAAAGATTCAAGCTGATCAATGTAAGTATCAGTGCGTATCTCATCTCAATAAGATATTCTACTTCCTGAACATCTCTTGGTTTAGAATGAGTAAATTATCTGTAATATGGATTATAGTATATTTTTCTACGGCCATATTATGATGAAGGTAACTTGCAGAAAACTTGAAAGAAGAAAACAAAGTTTTCAAAATTCTATTTTCTAGTAAATTCAGGTCATTTCAATGACTGTTGTGGCTAAAAGTGAAAAATTAATCTATCCATCATAATAATTATAGAGATCTCAAAATACATTTTTCTTGAGACGCACTTCGCTACACGGTAGCTTCATGAGTGATACAGTCCAGCTGATGAGGGTACGTTGTAGCGAAACGCGTCTTAAATAAAATTCATTGTGAAGATTCTATAATCATTATCATGAATAGTATTATTAATTTTTATCCAGTAACGGGTCACTGTATTCATAATTTAAAAAATTTGTCATTCGTTCATTATCTAATCAAATATTATTTTTAATAATTTTCAGATTGCCAACTTTTAAGTATGAAATGCTTTTTTTTGTAAGAAATAATAACATTGACTTTTCATCATTTCTGATTATGATATGCCAATTCAGGTGAAATGTTGAATGAGTTGATTTCTTATTAATAGTTTCTCATTCGTCACTGATATACTTACTTTCAACTGCGTTACAGAATACGATATTACCTGAGGCAGTAAGTTTTTGGGAAAAGGCCCTTTTCGTAAGGAGAACTGAAAACGTCATACGCTTGACAAGGTGAGTTTTTTTATTCTTGAAGTTTTGAAATGAATATCGTTATTGTTTAACATTTACGGTGTAAAGATTCAATAGTACTTAAAAAAATATTGATTTTGATACTGCTTTTCTGTCTTGTGTGTGGTGACATTGTTTTAGATACCATTCTTTCAAAATGCAAATATTACAAAGATTTGTGAACTTCTTCCTCAGGTCCACGGACTGAAAATGTAGATTCTCTGTTTTTTTCTGGAGGTACAGTTAACTCCAGCTGCTTTGATTGAATAGTACACATATCTTCTTAGGTTATAATTTTCCTTGTGTGATTGGTTGCTGCACAGACTCTGGGTGTTTCTACCTTCAACAAGATTGAAAATGATAATAATATCGACACTCATCTATATTTTTTCAGAGATAGACATCAAAAACCAATCTGCAACAAAGTAAGTCGAATAAGAAATTGCTTTCTATCTCTCTTCTGCTTTCGCTGTAAATGAAGCCAAAATAGTATAGTAGAAATAACTCATTGTTTTAGATCATAATTTTTTTGTAATATATCTGTGCTCGTGGTATATTCTTGACACATAATTTAATCTTTGTCATACATTTTTTGATATTTGATTCGCATCTTAATATTAAGTATACAACGTAATTTTCCAACTATGAGGCCCTGGTTCCATCTGAGATTGCTGTCTAAAATTATTCCAAGATATTTTGTTTTCCTTGTGGGTTTGATGACTTCCGTTTTGGAGATTTTGATGTCATATTCTGGTAGAGAGTTGTCATAACTACTGAATGGTACGTAATAGGTTTTCTCAAAGTTAATGTGCTGGTTCCGTCTGAGATTGAAAACGCTAATTATGTATAGTTTTGAAAATATTATAAAATAGCGTTACCTAAATACTTAATTTTTTTTTCTTCCAAAGTGTTTTCCGAAGTAATATTTTGTCGTTTCTTCTAGACTAAAAATAGAAATATAAACTATAAACATTCACATGGAATATCAGAATTTCACTAGTTTGTTATTCCATTGTCTAATATGATAAAATATGATTTGAAATCCCTGAAACAACAAATAAAATCACCCGAAGACGATTTTAATAACTGTCATTGCGATGGTTAACGTAAAATATTATTTCATTCATAGAAATCGAGGTAGATCACCAGTTTCTTCGGTGTCGATATTTTTCCAGTTGAAAAAGCGCTGAATTACTGTATGACTATCAGACCTTTCAGCATCGTTGTGGTTATGTACAAGTTGGGCTAGACTAAAAAAATAAATGTATCACATCCTGCCGATGTAATCATACGCTTGGGAAGATTAAAAAACGCTGAGATGAGGTTTTTGTGGCTAGCGTTGCTGACGCGAGGGCTTGGGAGTTTTTTTCGGTGACACAAAAAGTCGGTCAACAGAGCCCGTCGAGACGAGTACATCAGCCTTGGAGGCTGAGAAAGATGGCCTAAATAGGGGAGTTATTTTGTCTAAGCGCGTGGTGCGAAATTTAAGGTAGTGAAAGTCGGTATTGGGTACAGGAGAGTTTGAAATAAAAGTATTGGTGCTGAAGACACACCGCGTCAACGCAACCTATGATTGACCATGAGAGAGACTTCACATATTATTTTGTCTGAGTTCACTTCCTATTTGCAAAAAGGTTATATATTGTTGGGTTCCTAGTGCTAATTGTGGAGCTAGGGCGCAAATTTAAGGTTATACACCACTCTTCCTAAAGTAAAAGTAAAACTAAAAGTATTTTGTACCGAGTTGGTGCGTTTGTAGTTCTATTTTCTTTTATTTCATAGAATTTAACATTAAGACTTTACACGTTATTTTTTCATTATTTTGTCCATGGAGTCGTTGTTTTACTTATTATAATTTATTTTTGAAACCTTGGACTTTCATTTCTCTTGGAATGAGAAAAATACCATCCTCGTAGAATAAGATGAAATTAAGAAAACAAAAACAAATTAGAGACATCTTTTTCAATCTATCGAGAAGAGAATAGTATATAAAAAGCATTTTAACTGAGATTAAAATCAAGTTCTGGAACCACATAATGATTGAGAAAATAAGTAGGTTTAAAATCTGTTTAATATCTTTTTTTCCGTTAATCAGCTGTCGTCCCCATACGAACGATAACTCTCAGAAACTTGTCCTTAGCTCTGAGAAACTTGTGCGAGCTAAGGACTATCTAGGTCTTAACCTTTTAACGTGTGACTCCTAACACGGGTATATCAAATGACCAGATTTCAAAAAGACCGGTCTTCGTGCGATGGGCACGAACCCTACAGCCTTTTTGGAATTGCCTGACGTCCAAATTTTGATATGGAAAAATCTGCATCTGGTGACAGCAGCTGCCAAATTTTATTTAAATGAAACAAACATGGCAATAGCGACAGGGTCACCAAGGATTGATAGACAGTTAAGTATTGTTTCACTGGTAACTTATGTATATATACAGGGTGTTTCAAAATTCGACGGACAAACTTATACCACGTCATTCCTCTTGCAAAATGATGAAAAATGAGGTAGGACATGTGTGTCCGGAAATGAGCCGTTTCAGAAATACAGG